AATCGTAAAAAGTCGATTGTACAAAACGCGCAGACGCGACGCGACAGGAGGAGTAAATCCGGAGGAAAGTCCAAATCCAGCGATCCAGCGATTCTCGCCGCCACGAGGAGAGGCTCTACGCTTTTCCTATACTTTCTTCCTCTCCACGGAGGACTCTCTCGAAACAAGCCCAATTCACGTTATTGTTATTCGAGATACGGCGTTACCGCGGCGGATCGCGAGCGACTCAAGTATACCTTTTGTCCTCGCGTACGCTTGAAAAATGTCTGTACAATGTGCCCGAAGTGGCGAGTGTGCCATTGAACTCCGGATGAGCAGAGCGAGAGCGTAGTCAGCGTGGAACAGGTTTCGAATCCAGAATCTCTCAATTGGATTTAATACGGGAGAGATAATAGAAATCGACAAGTTTAACGAGCGACTCACGCTTAATTGAGACGTATCGCTAATTACCGTTCATTTCCTAACAAAAAAGCGGGATGGACGCGGCGGAGAAAAGTCAATTCGCCGAGAGAGGAGAGTCTACCGAGGCGTGTTTTACGCTAATTCATGCATTAATTCATTCCAAACGAGAGAGAGAGAGAGAGGGAGAGAAGATAAAACGAGCGGGGACAAAATGAGTACGGAGATCAAACAAAATGGGAAGAGAGAACTCTTCGCTCTTCGAGCGAATATACTCTCTCGCATCAGCGTTCGCTCAAATTGTACATATTTATGTATTACATCGACGTGACGTTTGACGGTACCTTTGAGAATGTCTCTCCGTTTTTGTTCATCTCTTTCGCATAGTTGTCTCTCTCTCTCTCTCTCCTCCCCTCTCTCTTTCTTTCAGTACTCGTAAGTACATTCGCCGTCTCGCTAACGATCGTGTATATTTGCATGGAAATTCGCGCGGAACTCGCGCGTGTCATTACTTACCGTAGGTATCCGCGCGGAATGCCTGACGGAGATTAAAAATACGATTAAGTGGTTTTTCGACCCATTCAACTTTTCACGGACGACATTCCAACGACGTCGTCTAATGAGTGCGCGCGCGATTTACGTTAAGCGCGAATATACGAGTGCAGGCGCATCCCACGAGCAGCCGCTAGTAGGAATTTTTCGAAGCACGCTTTCGACTTTATTCGCGCATCCGCGTGAATCCGCGCGGACGATCGGCGAGAGAATTAGCAGGCGAGAGCAGCGAGACCGCTACGAACGTCGATGACGGACGATTTTCGAGAGGGAATTACCTGAAACAGCGAAACGGTACTGATCTCTCGTACGGTATTTATCTCTCGGATAGCGGCGACTCGACTGCGGCGAGTCAGTAAGAACAAAAGGAACTCTTTGCTGTGATTTAACATTGTGTACACATCGCCTTGTGCCGCCATAATTCTCGATTTCCCGTCTTTTCGACTTCCGTCACCGGACTCGGACTCGGACTCGGACACGACTCGCCGTCATCGCGAGCGAATACGGCGGCAACTTGCTGTGCACCGCACAGTGCTGTACCAGTCGTTAAATTCGTCACCTCGGCCCGAGCAACACACGTATATGTAACAATGCGAACGTGCGAAATTCTTCGGATCGAATCTCACTCGGCGTCCTGAATTTATCTCAACACCCCGTATATATATATATATATATATATATCTCTCTCTCTCTGCGCGTCGAGACGCGACGAATGCCGCACAAATGAATGAAAAAATGCCTCTTCTCCTATTGGATTAAACAAAGTATTCAACGAGAGTAAGTACGCTACGACTAAGCTAAGTACGAGAGCGATTGATATATATGTACCTCGATGCGATTTCGAGCGAGATCCAAAGGAACGGCGTTAACGGCATGAGTGCGCGATATGAGACAATATATAACGTGGGAAGGAAGAGAGCGGAGCGGATTTCAAGCGCGGCGCATACCTTCGTTACGACTTACGCTCCGAATTTCCGTGGCCCTCGTAGAATCGCTCGACCGGTACTTCCGGCACTTCGCACACTTTTCGGCACTTTCGGCACACCTGTGGCACTCCCGCCCGCTACCGCAGCCTCGGCGAGTGGCGACGGAGTGTGTGGCCTGCGCTGCGCCGCGATATTTCGCCGAATCCTGCTGCTCTTGTGTGTGTGCTCGCGGCACTCGCGGCGAGTCTCTGCCGAGAGCAGGCACTCACTCGGCGTTTCACTCGGTGCGCGTACGCGCACCGGGCCTCTCGAGGAAGACTCTCTCGCGCGCGCGCGCGCGCGCGCGCGCGCCTGCCTGTATGTACCTTACCACGTCAGGATATGTCAGGCATTTATCGATGCGGATTCACCGAGATCGTACGGATCGTACGCGCGTTTCTCTCTCAACGCGCCAACGCGAGGTACCGCACCACGGCCGACTCGCGGCTGACGCGCTATCGCGAATTTCAACGCGGCGCGGTCGGTCGTCACGTCGGGGACGCGGACGCGAGTTTTCAAGTTATGCGGCGCGGAGCGACGCGACGCGATGCGGCGAGCGACAGGACGAGAGAGCGGGGCAGGCTGAAGAGCGAGGCGACGCGGCGACTCGGCCAGCGACTCGCGGCTCGCGGCGCTGCACCGTGCACCGCGATCGGCTGCGATGCGTCAAAGAGGGGGGCGGGAAAGAGCGAAAAGAAGGAGACAAAGAAGAATAGGACGAGGAGCAGGCGGCGGCGGTGGCGGCGGCGGCGAAGCGTTCACCGCCGTCATCTGTATATACAGCTCGGATTAAAAAGCGCGTAAGTCACGCCATCGATGAGGCGCCGTCAGAGACGGTCGACGGATTTCCGTTATCGCCGTAAGCGGCCCGACGATCCTTCGGACGGTTATCGAATTTCTTCGGTCAATCGATATGAATACAAATGTCTTGTATGTAATACGATGTTGGTATTATAATTGCAATCATCCGACGTTCTGCAAATGTGTAGGTAGGTATCTATGATAAGATACATGTGGTATCTTTGAAACTGTAATCTTGTGGTTATCATCTATGCTGATGAGACATCGAGCTTACCGACGGCAGGGTGTCAAGCTGCGGAATCGTTCGGCTAAGTTACGCCTTGACCGTCTGCGAGGAGCGAGCAAACTTTTCTGCTTCAGGCTGTGCAGTCCCAATTTAGAATCGTTCATCGTTCTAAATTGGGGCTAGTCCGAAAGATAGCATCGTCGCTTTTGGTACACCGCACACAAGTCAACATCACAATTTCGCACGGAGACATTTGCAAAAGGCACGAATTTGTTTGTAAATAATACATAATATGTATCTTTAATGTACTATATAAAAATGTTCTTTTACAACGCTCACATTATTTTCCATACTTATGTAATATTTTGACATCGAGAATAAAATAATACAATTCAGATAATAAATATGTGAAGCATATTATGTTCAGGACTTACATATTTAATGACAATATACTTATAGATCAATTATATAAATCATTGTACTGAAGTCGTACTTCCTGATCTTGTTCGTCCTTAGAATCGTCGTGGCTGATATATTTCAATCAATATTCAGAGGTAATGCAAATAGCTTTACACATCATTTTGAAAAAATCACCCGTCAAAATTCCTCCGTGGACGAAATATAGGGACTAACGGAGTAATCGTGAGCCAATCACGGTCAAAGATGCCTGATTGGTACGCAAAATTTCGCTAGCTATATACGATACACCATCACATAACAAATTTATTGTGAAGACGATGCTCCTTGAGACACGGCATGGAGCAGAAGCGATTGGCATTGTACTCAAAAGGCACCTGACCAGTCATGTCGACAGCACACTGGAAACACCGCAACATTACGGTATAACCTTGGTTCAACATGCGCTTCTCCGCAGCTAGTGCTCTCTGTGAAACGGGAAAGAAGCTAGTGAGATATTGTGCCAATAGCTGAACGAAACAAAATTGCACGTTAACGATAGAAATCAAATTCAAAAACACCAGTCAATTTTTTAAACACTTTTTACATAATAATATACCTTTTCTCGATCACTAAGATTGAGGAATCTTTGCTTCTCGTCTTCTTCCTGCTTCTTCAACTCAAACTCCTTCCTCTTGACCTTCTCCTTCAAACGCTTTATTTTCCGCTGCTGCCTCTTCTTCTCCATCTGCTCCTGTTCGATCTCCTCGTTGAGCGGCCCGGGTATTTGAGACTACCGAGCGATTATAGAAAAAACAAAATCCATAAATGAAAAGTTTTGTCCTATATGTAAGGAAACGTAAGATTCCGGTACCTTATGGTAATTATACTTGTCCGGGTTAGCTCCCATAAACCTTCTGAAAATATTCCTGGTCTCTTTATCGTTCGCAGCGGCGTACGGTGTCTGCAGCTTTCTATTTTTATTGCAGGGATCGGATCCGATCTCCAGCAGCAGCCTGAGAAGCAAATCATCAATATCGCTAATATTTGATCAAACGACGAGTCAACTGTAGCGGCACGCACCATATTAGTTTCAAATGTCCACCGAACGCCGCCAGATGCAACATCGTGTTACCCTCCTCGTTAACATCGTTGACCAATTTCGCTATGTCGTGCATGTTGACCAGAGGATTGATGCATTCGACGTTAACATCACTCTTATTTTGCTCCATCAGTTCCTCGCATTTTTTAACTTCGTCCAGGAGATCGTCGATAGTCGATGACAGCAGGTCGTTATCCCCCAGTTTACACGCATTCCACAATTTTATTTTAGCATCCAATAATACTTCGTTGATTATTTGGGCTACATATGGCGTAACGTAAAAAACATTGTTAAATAGGTTGCGGTGAAAAATATTTTTTCATAAAATTTTCTTATCGTTTCTATCTTCGCGATTGTCTTCTTTTATTTCGTGCGGTTTGAACAGTTAATACTTGTATCATATTGGAATTATCTCGCGAACCAACAACACTCACCGTCTTTCTTCACTTTTTTCTTCTGCCGACGAGCTTTTTTATTCTTCATATACCTTGGTACAGTATCTTGAAAGGCTAGTAAATGTTCATTAAATTCTATCTCCAAGTCTTGTTCAATTATCGAAACACTCAACGGCAAATTCTCGTCCACTTCTGATCCCGAAGAAGACTGAGCTAGTCTAGTAACGATTTCTGCAAAAAAAAAAGAAAAAAACGGTGTGGTTCTCCGTTACATACAAATGAAAACAACATCATTTTTGATAACACTACACACACACACAACATAACAACATTGTGATAACACTAGCGCGCCAAAAAAGGCCTCAACTGCCAGCATGCAACATACAATGACGCGTACCTGGTAGCGGACGAATTGGGCTTTTCCTTGGTTTCGCTCGATCTATATGCGAACGCGAATTCCTGTGTTGTCTCTCCGGTGAGGACGGCAGAGCTGTTTTTATCTTATCGCTCTCCTGAGAACTACTGGTACTACTGTGTGTCACATTAGGCTGACATTCCGCGTCGATGCCTCCCTCGGGTATCTCGTCCATCAGCTCGGGCTTGGGGACCTTCTTGCGTATAGGCTGTCGCGGCGAGTTGGGGAAACAGTCTGTAAAGTTTGCCGCGGAACCTGAAACACCGGCATTACCGTAATCAGCGTGCGGACTAAACAGATCAGTGAGACGCAGATCACAAGTTTAAATTGCACTCGCTCACCGTAAATCTCCATGGAGCTCAATATATCGTACACTCTCTTGACTTCCTTAAACGTGGCTCTACGTGTGGGAAAGGGCAGTGGTCTTAGCCTGGAGTCGTTCTTGTCTAACGTAGGATTCTTGCCGCCGAAGAGCACCGTGCGATTAAACGGACCGACCGCTCGATACAAAATCAGCGACGAATTGCTGATGTGCGTCGACCACGACTCCAGTATCTCTTGCACGTGCTGGAAACACCAACAAATACCTTGTTACGTGTATCCAATGGCTTATGAAATCATTCTCGTGGCTATGGAAAGACTGGGACACCTGAATGAGAGACGCTTCGTTGTATCTTCGTAGACTGGCACCGGCGCTCTTCTGATGATTGCCCGTCGTACGAGAATTCTGAGCGAAACCTTGTTTTGCCCGCACAGTGTAAGAATGGTAGGTCTTGTGCACGATAGGTTCGCCGTCTACGGTACGCGAGAGCGGCTTGATATATAAAGAAAATCGACAAATATCCTCTCAGACAACAGTGACAATAATAATGTACCTTGAAATACTGCCGCGGCAAAGTGTCCACCACCGACCATGATGACCGTCCATGTTGTCTTTTTGCCACTGTTCAGTGCCTGAGCAATCATCTCATTGTCTACTTCAGGAATGTCCTAAAACGTAATTGCATCTCTCCTGATCTGGCAAGTATAGATCACGCCAAGTGACTCTAATAAAGTAGACCAAGTTTCATAACAATGGATAAAGAGAATAATAATAACAACACATGATTCTAAACATGAAATGGGAGGAGGGAACTAATTAAAAGGCAATTTAATTTATAATAACGGACCTTCTTATGGTGCAACAGACACCTGTAGATGCTGAATATGTTGCCATCTTCATTCTCAAAGAATACTTTTGAGTGACGACTGGCAATGGCCAGTAGAGCTTGCAGTTTCTTCTCCTTGAACATTTCATTACACTCAGTATCAGAACTGTCCGAGACTAACTCGATACCCTTGCTGCGTCTTTCCTTCTTGTCAGACTCCTCGTTGATAGGCACGGAATTATTTTTACTCGCAGGTTCATTCTTGATCTGGTCATTGAGCGAGCTACCAGTCTCCGAAGTACCAGCTTCGTCCTCATTTTCGGACTCTGTCTCGCTACCAGACAGACTAGACACGGCGCCTACAAAATTCGCACGTGTCTGATGCATCCGCTTAAAGTCCGCACAACGCTGTGTACTTCATCTCAGACTATACCTTCATCAACCAGTAAGTTAAAACTATCCTCGCTAATTGACTTCAGACCATTCAGGTGTTGCTTGAGATTGTAACAGTGCCAATCTAGCTTGTAATGATGTCTCTGTTGAGTTTTGTCCTCAAACACGGTGTTACAAAAGGAACAACTCAACGAATCCGACACAACCAGATCCTCCAATTGGTTTAACACGGTCTCACTGTCAGAAACTGCAAAGTGGGAAAGCTCCATTCGTGAAACATCAACAAACTTTATCAGTTACTGTTGATCTTAAACAATAACATAAAATATCACACGCGATCAAAGCGCTTATGCTCACGCATACAATATACAAAACAGATGAATAATCAATTCATGAAGGCATACGTCCCAAGAAAGTTCCAAGGGTACGTGCTTACCACAGGACGACCGCGATTGCATGCATTGCGCAACCTTGATCCCTCTGGTGATCCGGCTGAAGTCATCTGGATTATGTATTTTAAAGATCTGATGGTCCATTTCTTTCGTAGCCACTTGGCAGGCCTGATCAGTTTCATTCACCATTCTCCAGTTCTAAAGACGGACAGGAAAGATGCAATGTCTACCCGACCGCGATAGCGAGAGAGGAAACACGGCTCAAAACACAAGATTCGCGGAAATTCGACGAGAAATCTAATCCCAACGATCAACACGGAGAGAACGCACCGATCGTTTCGTCATCCTACGCGCCGCGAAACGTTGCGCCTCCAGCGGCTGCTGATTATATCATTCTATTCACGTGCCACTTTCAAGGGTGCATGTTTCAAAGGGCGGCAGATTTGAAATTGTTGAAAGTGAAAGTCCATTCTGAATCTTTTCATCGAGTAGCGATGAAAAAACTAGAGAAAAAAAAGACAGTTACATTGACATCTTTGAAAATACGAGAAAATAAATGTTGAGGAGAATATGAGATGCAACATATGTGAGGAGTTCATGTGCGAAAGTGTCAGTTAATCGTTTATTAAATAAAATTTCGTCTCACGTTACAAACATTTCGCGCGAGACAATGCTGCACGCAACAGTGACTGCCCGACTATTGAGAAGGCATCTCACGAAGAATATACTCTTACTTTGTTAATTCTATCGATATTAGTCGTTCGAAAAATAGAGCATATCTTGTTAGACATTCATAATACTTGTAACAGCTGGAACTTATGAAACTTGTCGCATAACAGTACGTAATCACTTATTCTACCTATAACAGCGATTTACATTTCTTGTTTCGTAGACCTATCAAATCGTAAGTTTCAGGTAATTAGAGATAATTAGAGTTACAATAGAGAGACTCGACGGCCACTAACTTTACATTCCCGATATCGAAGCTCCTATGTATACAGTTGCCAGTTGAAATAAATTAAGTGTATAACAAATACGTCTAATAATAAGCGTATAAATATTACACAGTAAAGTACCAAAGTAGCACGAGATTCATTGCTCGCGTAGCAATAAATGTTCCTCACAGTATTCTCGGTATGCAGTAACTGTTTAATAAAGGCGCACCTCATTCCAATGGTACATGATTTCTAAAAAATTATTAATAAGCGCCATCACTTAAACTGTGACATGTGACGATACAGTGTGCTGAGAACGATGCATTATTCTTAGGCACGCAAAAGGAATATTAGAGCACGGAATACGTATTGCGAGTGAATTGTATATAAAATAAAATTTACCTCACAAAATAAAATACGAAGTATACTTCGCAACACTTATTCTAGCTTACCGATAAATATAAATTATTCTATCGGATAATCAGTCAGTCTTAGATACACAAAGTTCTAATAATGTAATAGATTATCCTTTAAAATTTGGAACGACGGACTGTTTTGTACTTTTGACGTTTTGACGTTTTTGGTTGCTGCGCATCGCACGGTTGTACTAGCTCGATACTTTCCGCGCATAGTAGTACCGTTAGTGTGATTACTAGGGTGAAAACTAGAGCAAACAAGACCTTTGCATTTTACTAATGCTCGCTTTCACATCCTGCGTTTTTCATCTTGGACTACTCAAAGAAAGTGAATTTATTTTCTCAATAGTTGCAACCATGTAATTTTTACAATGTAGAAATCAACAGGAAATTACAAAACGTCAAGATTATCGATGTGTATCATCGACAACTTCTAACTCAAAACTTATTAAATACCACAAACATGAAAGACAGCCATAAATAAACATAGTTGTTGATGTTGATAAATATGCAAATAAATAAATATATTACACGTAAACAAAAATAGAACCATCTTTCGAGCTGCCCTGCACAGGCTGTTGATCACATCTCCGTCAAGTTAGAAACACATATAGATAAAAAATAATATCCCATGTAGTACACCAATTAAATAATTTATGTGCATCCTTGAACCTTCATGCATCCTGAAATACATGTACCAAATGATATTAAAAAGAATTAAAATAAAATAAAATAAAAATGATGACATATATATATATATATATCTTGTTGCCATGTTGCAAGATTAGAATATCTAAGTGATATCTAAAGTAATATCTGTGAGTAAAAGTCAAGGCTCACCTCTGCCTTGAAGAACTGAAAGGAGATGGTGGATTCACACCTGGTATACTGCTGTCCATATAAATGATGAACCAAGTGAAACTTGTTATTGCAAGCCCACTCAATGCAGCCTTTACGAACCACCAATATTTTTTGTAAAATGTAACTAACACACCAGCAGCTGCATTCGTATATTGATTACTGGCATCCAACAATGTCCCGCTACTCGCCAGTAATTGGTCGCCAATTTGCCACGACAGAGATTCTCCTGAGGGCAAAAGACGAGAAACTTGAATCAGCCACATTTTCTTATCTCATCCACCAGCGTTTCAATGCTTATTCTAAATTCGAAACTCAGGCGTCTGCGGAGTAGCTTTGTTTCCTAATTTAGACAAAGTTATCCCCTTTTCTGTGTGATTGCAAATAATTAATTCAAACTAAAGAAACATCAAGAGGTAGAATAAAGATCGTAATAAGAAGCGAAGAGACGACTCGTGTTTTTATCCCTCTTTTTTGCTCCTTTCACAGTCTCTCGCAGTGTTGCGACAGTAAGAAAAATCAAGCACTTTTCGGGCGATGACGCGGCCTTCGTAAATTCGGTCATGGGCGATGCAGACACTCGCGTCCACGAACACGTGCGCGTGGAGAAGCTCGAGGGAGGATCGTCGACTCGGAGTGTTCGTTCAAACATGTATCTCGCTTATGCAAATAGGCCGCGTAACAAAAATACAATTCAAGAACGGCCGCACGTGCGTACCATCTGCGTTTTAAAGCGCGCTCGCGGATCGCGTCTTTAAATTTCGCATTTGGAATGCGGTACAAAAACAGCAAAAAATAAAATAATTATTTGCTGAAACTCAGCCGGGGAGAATGAAGATTATTTTTTATATATTATATTAAAAAAAATGATCCTTATATATTATATTAAGATAAAAATAATATTTAAAATAAAAAATATATATATTTATTTATATTTATGTATTTATTTGTACATTATGTTACATTAGATTTATTGAGATAAGAATAATGATTTTGAAAATGGTTTGATTTGCAATAGCGTAACTTTTTGAAATTAATCGTATACAAATAGCAGGCTATGTAGCAGGCTACGTAGCACTATCAGGTTTTCGGTATACTCGGTATATTTGGTGGAGAAATATCAAGGATTAACATCCAATTAACAATGGAGAAATTTATTGATAAAAGTTATACAACAACTTATATTTATTTACAAAATATTGTTTTTATATGAATCCATTTTAAAACATATCAGGTATGATTTCTTTTCAGCTACACTTCGATACTTTCCAGCTAAATTTCAATACTTCCTGATTTCAATGAGAACACTTATGTCATTACTTTCATGAGCATGAAATAAGTATACACTCATATATCAAAGAGAGAAAAATGAAAGCAGATCAATCAGATGTAGAAAGTTTACCTGAAAAAGAGATGTCTGATGATACAAATATAACAAATAAAAATAAATAAAAATAAATAATAAAAAATTATAAATTTTGATTGATGCTATTTTCATTGACTTTAATTAAGGACTGTAACTGTTTGGGACAACTATTAAAATATATATGCACATAAGAGTGTTATTCGTGAAAAAATTCATATGATTAATGAGTAGTTTTGTGTTTAATAAAACCAAAACAGATAAATGTACAAATGCACATCTAATTTAACCGATTTTAGATTTCGTTGATGCAAAAGAATTTTACTTTACGCAAAGGAAAATGCGCTACGAAAGGGACAGAGAGAGAGAGAGAGAGAGAGAGAGAGAGAAAGAAAGAGAGAGAGAGAGAGAGAGAAAGTTCGGCAAAAAAAGTTGCAAGCATCTCTTTCCAGCAAAAGAAGCACAACAAAGAATCGAGCATTGAATAATCTCTAACCTCAATCTCGATCGAGCTGCTAGGTGAATGACTCGTATCGTCCACTTTCAAGAACAGCCCTTTCGACGCAACATCGGACAAAAAATAAAAATTCGTAATCAAGTCACTGTAATCACTCACCATAATTGAAATATAGCTTCCCCAGTGTCATCGACAGGGAGAACAGGAAGAGCGACACACTGAAAGTCCACTCATTTATGCGAAGCTTCCTCCAGAACGTCGTCGGTTTCTCGTCCATAACAGCGGCGGCAAAATTGCCGTTCCCGTTCGTCCATTTCGAGGATTCGCTGATCTTCGTCCTTTGGAATATCGCCATCGTCGTCGGAAGCAGCCTCCACCGGGAACCAGGCAACGGTCGTGCGTGAGACACGCACTGCGTATATACACACAATGTATACAGGTGTGGCCTGTATCATCTACGAATGACAAGTCGCGCTGTTTCCAAAAATAAAGGTGAACAAGCCCGACACACACACACACACACACACGCACGTACAATGTCGATGACGTACGCGCATGCGTCACAATCTCCAATCCCACCGCATCAAAAGCGTGCGCACGTCGCCCATCAACCGCCAATCGAATCTTCATAAATTTTTTCTCCGACGCTAACAGATCTCGACGAACAGTCAACGGAAGAAAATTTTGTGACGTTTACGAGATAATGTTAAACTCCAACTAGGCTAATCGCCGCTCAATTCAGCCTGAATCGTAAGCATGAAAAATGTATATAAGCCAATATGTCGTTGGAATGAGTAAGAACATTCTCTTGTTCTCTCTTCCCCAGACAGCACACACGGCACGTCCATTGGACGTTATATGTCCATTTTTTTTACAAAAGACGTCCATAGGACGTACGTTTGTCACAACTTCGGACATCGGACGTCCTACAGATCCGATATCCAATAAGGACATCCTTGTTACGTCCAATTTATGTCCACAGACGTAAACATCGAACATACCGGACATAAATTGGACGTGAAATGTACACCCATTGGATGTTCGGTGCTGTCTGGGTCATAATGTATAGATATTTGAGGCTGCTGTCACTCAAGTATCACCTTTGCTCCAGATTGCCAATATATATTATTAACTTATTACTAACTGATCCGTTATCGTTGCGCGACAAATTACGCTAGAAATTAGCGATTTGACATGGTAGACGTCCCACTCATATGCACGGTCCTAAGCACGAGCATCGTATTAAGTCTGCTTTTCGAAGTAGTGCAATAAATTAGAGCGAAAGAAAGTACACTTGTTTCATTCTAGCTTATTGCACTCTAGTTGGGAAATCAAACTTTTTGGGCTACGCGCTGCGAGGGGCGTGAAAAACGCAGAGGGTTGAAGATGATCCCATTGGCGCCGCGCTCGGTCGACTCGCGCGCGCCTTCGGATAGTGAAGTTGGTCACTAACGGAGGCGCATGCGCGCAAGCACTTCTGCGGACAACCGTCACTCGTCAGTACGCGCGAGACTGCCGCGCGTGATGGTTGGTTGTGTGATTATCGTTTGAGTATTTGCTGACTAGCATCGCGCTTGTACTCCAAGTTAGTGAGCCAGCGAGCGAACGAACGAGTAAAGAGGGAAACGAAGGAAGAAAAAGGGAAAGAGAGAAAGAGAGGATGGCGAGTCACGACGACGTCGATATCGGCGACTTTGTGCTGTTGGATGAGATCACCGTCGAGCGTGTGGTGGAGAATCTGAAGACGAGGTGCGTATGTGTTCCGCCGGCCGTTGTCGTCGCCTCGTTGTCATCATCGTCGTCGTCGTCGTCGTCGTCGTCATCGTCATCGTCGTCGTCGTCGTCGTCGTCGTCATTGTCGTCGTCGTCGTCGTCGTCGTCATTGTCGTCGTCGTCGTCGTCGTTGTTGTTGTTGTTGTTGTTATTATCGGCGACGGTGACGGCGGCAAGCGGCTCCGAAAGATCCGCAAAATCGCGGACGCTGTGACAGATAGATGACGGCAGGGAGCGTCGCGTCCCGCTGCGGCGGTCCCTCGCGGTCACCTCGTCGCCGTTCCCGCGAGAGGGCGTGGCCTGCGTCATCAGCAGGTGGTCGCGCGATATCCCGAGCATAGGTGGTAAAAGGCCAGCTGATTCTTTTTATCTGTGCTCTTTAGCGCTCTCTGTTTCTTAAACGCGGGACAAGAAGGACCGTAAATAGCAATTAACCACTTCGCCATGATTTAACTCACTTTTTTCGTTATCTCGAGAAACCTGAAACCGCAAAGGATCAGCGGTGAGTCCCCGTGTGCTCTTTGAAAGGATGCCGAGGAAAAGAACCAAGCGGCCGGGACACGCACTTGGTAGATACGTGAGGCGACGTTTCTCGAAATGGCATTGATTGATAAACGAAAGGAAATGCATCCTCCTAGCTTCACTTTTCATCCTTCTTATCTTCTCGTGCGTTCCAGCACTGCGAAAACGTTTGTGTAACGTTGCGCGTGTTCCGGCCACTATCCGCAGCGGATTGCGATTCAAACTTGACCCGCTAACGATATCGGGGAGATATCCGAGGTCGTCTCCACCGACAACCTTGGTAGGTTCATTTTGGTAAGCGATAGCCTCCATCTGTCTATGAATGGTCGATCGCATGTGACGTAGTGTCGCCTTTTTCGCCGACACGGTCGAATGCGACGAAAATAAGAAAGAGTGGAAGAAATGCAGACATTTCCGACCTCAATATGAATATCCTTGCGCCAGCCGCCTTGATTCGACGTCATTTTTCCGTGTATATTGCAGAGGAAGGATTATACGCATAATAAGCTGCAAATGAGCAGCGGTGCACCTGGCTGCAGCTGGTTCCTAGATGACAATAATAAGAGTCGTGATTGCACCGGCGCAAATTGGCGCTAACCGCAGTTAATTCGTCTCCCCTCTGTCTTCGCGAGCGAAACTGCAGCTCCGAATAGAAGAAAGAAAAAAAAGAAAAACAGCGACTCAGGATTAGCCCGGTTTAACGAAGACCTATCGTTGCAAGCCAGACGGAAAGCGCCTCCGACGATCGCAAACTACTTAGTACCTCCTTCGCGGAGAATCGGCGTTTTCTTTGCGGTTTTAGGGATTCCCTTCGACAAATTTCCATCCAATTGTTCATCCGATAATCTCGAATGCGACTGGGAAAGAGAGCACGCGCGCGCTGATTCCAATTTACCAGAACAGGTGATTAACGGTCTCCGATCACCTTTCAATTTCGTCAGTCTCGTATTTCCCATCTTCACGCGACCTCGCGATCGGGTTGTCCGGACTGCTTCTGAGACAATTGGCGTGATTTCAGGCTGATAAGCATGTATACGAGTTGTGAAACTGCAACTCGACGCCGCAGAAAGGGATACGTCAGGGAAACGCTCCTTATACACCTGACTACACCCGCCGCAACGATAGTTGCCGTGCCCGTCTATATTGTAGAGTGTGCATGGAATTGAATGTCACACTGCGAGTAAACGAAGACGGAAGTGGCGGCGAGACCTGTTGCGTTGTGTCGTTTTGCGGGTAAGAGTGCGCGCACAACCTTATCTGTCGCAGACTCGCCGTACGCGTCTCGAAAAAATGGACAGTTTCATCGACGTTAACTTCGAATATATTATTAATTTACGTATATACAAAGTGTCCGGGATCTTTTAGAAGCGAAAAACTGTGAAGACTAGTCAGATCGAATTGAGAAGAAAAGTCACATATCATTTTGCAAATAAGTACGCAAATTTTCAAGTTATCGATTAAAAGAGCTTCTAGACGTGGTGGTCATTTTCAGTCATTAATGACTTAATGACTATCGCGATTTTTGCAAAGTGGTACTTGACTTTTCTTCTCAGTTCGATCCGATGAGTCTTCACAATTTTTCGTTTCGTAAAGAGATCCCGGAGATCCCCCTGTACATATATCTTTTTTCTGATGACGATTTTTGCTGCTGACGATTATAAAATTCTGTCGTAAACGAAAATCGGCGAGACGTGTGAATCTCTATATTTGCGAATCAGCGCGTTTCGTGCGAGTTACATCGATTTGACTGTGAAAAGTCTATCCGAGAATGCTCGCAATGCTTACCGTCATTTCTTTTTGCAAAGTTACCAGCAACACTGGGTGTCTGGATGCGATTCAATCGAGCCACTCTGAGCTCAACGATACACGCGCACGTGTAACGCATTTCTCGGAAGATATATATATACTCCTGAGTAAAGATGAATGACGCGCTCTGATTCATCGCGCGCTTAAAACGCCAGACTATCGTGCGTAAATCTCGGATGATTTTCTCACATTGTATTTTTTATCACATCCGCGAGAGTTCTCGAGGGAAGATTTTGTTCGCTGCTCGAGCGAATTTCTCGTGCAGAACCGCGTCGCTTATCGCGACCACGTCGATCATATCATCGAGCGATCTAGCTCGAAGAAATATTTTCTGATAGAATTACCACGAGGTATCGACTCCATCGGCCTCGCCGGCACTAACTATAGCTCAGAGGTCTGTCATTTCGAATGACTTCGGACATTTTAGTCAGTTCCTCCCCGAACTAGATATCATAAACGGGTTTGCCTGATATTTTTCTCTACGCTTCAACGAAACTATTGACCACCGCGCGACCGTTTGCTAAACGAGCTGCAACTTTCACGAGAAAAGGACAAGGGAACGTGCATGTGCAAAATGTGCGCGTACAGAGATAGAGATCTATCGATCGTGTCTTAGCATTAAAGCGACTAGCGATTTGGCGATCCTCGATAGCTCGACTTCTGCCTGAGATGATCTCCTCCGAGTTTGGCAAACGACAGCGACGTCTGCGAAGATGAACGAAGGTAGACGGTCAAAAGTTGAACAATTTTCTCCGCTTTTGTAGCGGCAGTTGCAGAGCCGGGGAGAGAACTTTCACGTTTCGAGATTGTTATATCGTACGAAATAATTGCATCATCAAATCGTTATAATGTCGCTACAAAGTGATACGATAGGGGCGAGCTTTTATTTTTACCGATTATGTCACTCTATTCTGGGCAATGGCTCATGTTGATATCGTCCCCAACGCCAACGCGTGACGTGAAGAACAGGGTAACTACACGTAAACACCATACACACACACACACACACACACATACATACACATTTACACGCCACACAACGGTAAAAGCACGATGAGAATACAAGCGTGCAGAGATGTATCCTAGGATACACACGATGAATATGCGGTTCGCATAATTCTAATCGCGGGGTTTGCGTCGGCGGTGAGTCATCGTCGAGTCGTTGCATACTTTTGGGTTTGTACTCGCGTCACCGTCGCGAGACTCGCGCTGTCGATAATTGCAAACAACTAATTACGACGTCACGCTCGCAGCGGCATTTATTATCGCAACGCAATCCTCTACGTGTATGGCGACAATAGCGCTGAAATGTCGCACGTCGTGGAGAAACCGTTCTATATATATATATATATATATATAATATATAAAATATAACATATATAAAATATATATATAAATAAATAAATATATATGTACACACATATATATATATGTACATATATATTTATTTATCGATTTATTTATTCTTCAACTTATCGCCAGGAAGGGATTTGGTTTACAATTTTTTTCCTTAACCACACTCATTCGTTTATCTATTCCTCCCTCGTCCATTATTTCCTATTTCTCTCCTATTCTACTTATATTTTCCTTAAACCTGTATTGCATCCAATTCTTCTCTTCCTGTATTTCGCCCACTTTATTTCTTATAACTTTTACCATTCCTTGTCCACTGAATTGATCTGTATCTTGTTAAGACGCTATTTACAATGCAATACAATATCATACAATATACAACACAAACTAATACGTCGCTATTTAGAAAAAAGCATCGTCTTTTCCTTCCAATTATCGCATATCCTATTATTTCTCTCCTTTAATCTCTTTCCATTTATTCTTCTTTATTTCTTGCTACAATTGTTCTTATTCACATTCTTAATTATTTAGTGAGAAACCGTTCTATATATATCCCGATACATTGAATAACTTTTACTCTCCGGCGGAGATGGAGGTATGTACAAGCCGTGTATTGTTCGCACAAAGTGAGCACGTATGAATCATTACGGCTCGATAATTCCCAAGCTGATCTTATACGACGATAAATCTTATCTCCCGCCGTCGGCGAGTGTGAATTGTCGACCTGTGGCTTTCGCGAAATTAGAAAACTATTAACGACGAATTTCCCGATCGGGAGAAAGTGCTCTATCGCAGTCGCTTACTATTTGCGTAACTCCGTAAGTTTGCTTGAATAAACGCGGCTTCCTGCTCCCTGCTTGTGACTGACAGCCCTCTACATGCTTGTCGATATGTTGTGTTGCAGATTCAACGGAGGGAAGATTTACACGTACATCGGCGAGGTGTGCGTGAGCGTGAATCCCTACAGACACACCAACATCTACGATGCGGACCAAGTTAACAAATATAAAGGTGCGGCCAGGTCACCTCATGACGTCCCGTTTCGGTAGAAACGTCCCAGCCACGCAGACTTGTGACACATACTTGTGACAATTAAAAAGACATTCTGTAGATGTCTCCTGAATGTCTTTTTAGAAGCCTGTGGTGGTTTAGGATGTTATCCTAAATACGTCAAGCTACGATGCCTGAACTTGGCACGTAATTCCGTCATTTCGACTCCGCCTCATCCTGGGAATTGTTTTCAGGCCGAGAACTATTCGAAAACCCACCGCACATCTTCGCGATCGCGGACGCGGTGCATAAAGAGATGAAGCAGCAAGGCCGCGACACGTGTATCGTGATAAGCGGCGAGTCGGGCTCCGGCAAAACGGAGGCTAGCAAAATCATCATGAAGTACATCGCCGCCGTTACCAATCTCAGCGGTCAGCAGGAGATCGAGAGGTAACGGACCAGACGCGCGCGCAATCAGGGAGTTCCTTATCGGGTGTTGCTATCTAATCGAATGTCATAAGCGATAAGATTACAATCTGCTGCATTGTTGTCTCACGAATGAGATCGCACATCATCCGACTGCACTGCAATCGCTTAATGTCACACCTCGTCAACGAGGTCATGCGCAAAATATAACGAAGGATATTCCCGTCTCCGGGCGAAAACGCCAATCTAGCCTCGTCCGCGATGACACGTTCGTATTCACATTTCAGGGTGAAGAACATCCTCATCCAGTCGAACTCGATACTGGAGGCGTTCGGTAACGCCAAGACCAACAGGAACGACAACTCGTCCCGCTTCGGCAAGTACATGGACATCAATTTCGATTTCAAGGGAGACCCCGTGGGCGGACACGTGACCAATTACCTCCTGGAGAAGTCGCGGGTGGTCTATCAGCAGAAAGGGGAGCGCAATTTCCACTGTTTCTACCAGGTATCGTTCGTTGCGGAGCGCGAACGCGTCGAACGAGCAAGCGCGAGCCGTGATTGCGATACTCACGAATGAATTCCACGCGTAAATTGCAGCTACTAAGTGGCTGCAGCGAGTCCGAATTGAACAAATTACGTCTTGTCCGGGATCCGGCGGCCTACTACTTCATCGGCAACGGAAACAATAATAAAGCGCCCACCTCCGACAGGAGCGACTACAAAACCGTGAACAGCGCCATGTCCATGCTCGGATTCTCGCCGAGTGAGGCGCAGACCGTATGGAACATCATCGCCGGTATCTTGCACCTGGTAATTAATGTAGAAATTAGTTATATATATAGACTAATTCGACGCAGAATAAATTAAGTAAAATCCGGCGGATTTTACCCGCATGACGTTGAAGAACTCGTTCGCTCATTTCTGTCTTCTCAAGAATTGTTATTGATTTTTCACTCGATAACTGCTTCTCTCTTACTCTCCTCAGGGCAATGTCACCTTTAGACTGGACGACGACAAGCTTGTCATTCAAAATCATTCAGCCTTGAACGACACCGCCAATTTATTCTCCATCAGCTCGAAGGACCTGAGCACCGCCCTCTCGCAAAGAGTCATAGCTGCCGGCGGCGAGGTCATGCAGAAGACCCACACGTTGATTGAAGCTGAATACGGCAGAGATGCGTTGGCGAAGGTAGCAATCAAAGGAACTTTCTTCGTTCCTTTCAAAGTGTTCTCGTGTGATCTCGTGCGATTTGTTACCGTTTGTATCTGTCGACACATATAGCATAAAAGAGATGAATATTTCAGGCTATATATGAACGATTGTTCACATGGATAGTATCGCGCGTTAATGACTCGATCAACGTGAACGATCTCGACAACGTGAGACGGTACGGAACGGTGATAGGCGTACTCGACATCTACGGCTTCGAGATCTTCGACGCGAACAGTTTCGAGCAGTTTTGCATCAATTACTGCAACGAGAAGCTGCAGCAACTCTTTATCGGTGAGCTGAACGCTGATGTGTGCACGTGGAGACACTAGCTCATGTTGCAGGGAAGATATGAACTGCAATTGAATACTTTTCTCCCGCAGAATTGGTTCTCAAGCAAGAGCAAGAGGAATATCAGAAGGAAGGGATAGCCTGGCAACACATTGAATATTTTAACAATCAAATCATTTGTGATTTGGTCGAGCAAGCTCACAAAGGCATCATAGCAATCATGGATGAGGCTTGCCTTAACGTTGGGAAAGTCACGGATGAGGTAAGCGGGAGGTCGAGATTTCTGATGAATAAACTCGTGAACAATGAAGGATAAGAGAGAAACCCCTTTTCCCAGATGCTGCTGGACGCGATGGATAAGAAACTAGCGGATCATAAACACTACACCTCCCGGCAGTTGAAACCGATGGACAAAGGACTGCAGCACAAAATCGAGTTCAAGATCAAACACTACGCTGGCGACGTGATCTACAATATCAACGGCTTCCTCGACAAGAACAAGGATACACTCTTCCAAGACTTCAAGCGTTTGCTCTACAAGAGCAATAATTCTTTTCTTAGTAAAATGTGGCCCGAGGGTGCTCAAAATATTTTAAAGGTACCAAAGATGAGCTAATGTGGGTCGTGGGTTTTAACGACCTTGATGCCTATTAGCCATGTTATTCGATTTGGTCGCTTCGAAGCTATCTAACTGGACTTATCGTGAATGAATCCTTTTAGACGACAAAGAGACCTCACACTGCCGGCACCTTGTTCCGTAACTCCATGATTGCACTGGTGAAGAATCTAACGAGCAAGGAGCCGTTTTATGTGAGATGCATAAAACCTAACGAGGTGAAGTCTCCGGTCGTGTTCGACGACGAGAGAGTGAATCATCAAGTGAGATACCTGGGTCTCGTGGAGAACATACTGGTGAGACGCGCTGGCTTCGTGTACAGACAACGATACGACAGATTTTTGAAAAGGTGAACAGCTCGTCAAGCCTTCTTAAAAGTTTCCTCCTTTTTTCTTCACGACGCCAAGTCAATTTCGTTTGAATGTTCACGAAGTGAAGTATTTGATCTCGTCAGGTACAAGATGATATCGCAGTACACATGGCCAAACTTCCGAGGCGGCAACGATAAGGACGGGGTGCGCACGCTGATGGACGAGAAAGGTTTCTCGAACGACGTCATGTACGGCCACACGAAGATCTTCATTCGCTCGCCGCAAACCCTGTTCGCGCTGGAAAAGGTTAACCGACACACGATCCAATTTAATTGCACATGTCGCAACATGTTACATATACTTCATATTACCTACCGAGCGTACTTACATCATCGGTCATTGCACTCGCAGGCTCGCAGCGAATTGATACCGGGCATCGTGGTCCTCTTGCAAAAGCAATGGCGAGGGTACCTGTGTCGTCAGAAGTACAAGAAGATGAAGGCCGCGCTGGTCCTGATGAAGCACTACGTCGAGTACAAATGGCGCGTTTACATCTGCAAATTGGAGCAAACTTTCAGGCCCGCCAAGAAAATGCGGGACTACGGCAAGCACCTGTCCTGGCCGCCGGAAAATTTCGCTGTAAGACACGTGATACCCGCCCTGAGGAACATATACGCCAGATGGTGGGCGTGGATGGTGCTCAAGGTGATTCCACGGGAGGATTGGCCGCAACTCCGACTGAAAGTGCGTACTCGTGAAACACTTGGTAGTCAAATTCAGCGTGTCATTCTCGTTTCAGTCGACCAACGTCGACTGAACCTTAATCTGAGTTCAAGTATTCGTCTGAGTAGAGTTTAAACTTGGATTAGAACTTCTTAATCGACGTTGGCAGTGGTGACGAACGTGAATAAAATGAGTTTCCCAAGAGCTACCTTCCTTTTCCATTTAGATGGCAGCGGGCGCCGTGTTGCGCTCCAAGCGCTCCCACTGGGGTCAGGATCGCCGATGGGACGGAAACTACTTGTCCAAGCCGGACGAGAATCCTCACAGCGACGTCTTCAACTCCTCGATCAACAATCTACGAAACACCGACCACTTCAAGGCTATCTTGTTCAGCGCGTTTATCAAGAAGACCAACAGGTTTCTCATCTCGCCTCGAATATCTAAAACTCTTGCACAAAAAAAATTTGATTGGGAATTTAACATTCATAACGCTACAAATGATGCAGATTCAATAAACCCGCGGACCGCGTCTTGGTAGTAACAGAGCACGCTGTCTACAAACTGGACGGCGTCAAGTTCAAGAGCATGAGGAAAGGCATGCCAATTGCGGAGATCACCGGTTTGAGTGTGTCGCCTGGCAAGGATCAGCTCATCACCATTCACTCGAATCGCGGAAACGACTTCATTCTGTCGATTACCGCTAAGGATGACAGAGTCGGAGAGCTCGTCGGCGTGCTCAGCAACCGATATTACCAGTAAGTCGTTTGAGCTCTTACGTTGAGCAAATTATTTCCAGAGAGATGTTTGATATAATACTAAAAACTTATGCAACTATATACATACGCCGCTGTGTGAGCCACTTATCGTGAAAGTGGACAAAGTTCAATCTCAGAGAAACAAATAGTTCCTTTGCTCTACTTGCAAATCAATACGGAAGAAAAATCAAACGTGGAAAAAAATGGATGTAAAATAGAATTGCTCTGTTTTTAAATTAAGCTGCTCGTACACGATATTTCTATTTTTTAGACACACATCTTTGTTTAAAGTATTCGCTAGACACTTGAAAATCGCGATTTCATGCAACAATCAAATTTTTTCTCTTTGGCAGACTGCGCGGAGCTGACTTGCACGTCACCGTGGACGTGAGATTCAAATGTATGTTAGGCAACAAGAGCAAGGTACTGCGTGTCGAGGTGCTTCCCGATATGACGGAGCCCACGTTCAAGAAGGACGGCGACAACATTATCTATGCCATCCCACCGTCAGTAGCAATCATCGATAACGGCACTAATACAAGACTGGATATTCGCACGGCCAGTTAAAGTCCGACAAACCGTCCAACTACTGATACTCATCATGTCGCAACCATAATCAGTATCTGGTACACATTTTTAACGTTATTTAAGCTTGAAGCTTTATTGGTCGTTGTGCCTGCATAATAAATATACTTATCGGATGTCAGCAGAGAGAGAGAGAGAGAGAGAGAAAGGAAACGCGAGAAGATATTGCAGTACAAGTTACGTGACACACATATACGCACGCGTACATGTGTACACACAACATACATACGTACATACAACACACACACACACACGAGAGTCAATTGCGTGGCATGTTGGAGAGTATGAGAAATTTTAATTCTTTATTCTCCGAATACTTATCGTCGAGTATTCCACACATACGACGCATTTATCTGTAAATATTATAGTTATAGTATTATTATTAGCTTCTAATCGTGCGAGAATGAACGTGGTGGAGCTACAAAAGTCTCACTTTGGAATGCATTTACATACATATATGATATAAATATATATAAATGAAGATATATTTATTTATATTTATATATATATATACGTAACTTATACAAAAGTGAGTCTCTCACATTGGAATGCATTTATATACATATATGATATAAATATATATAAATAAACATATATTTATTTATATTTATATATATGTATACGTAATATGTTACGCGAGAATGACTTTTAAGCTCGTGGAAGACGATCAGATTTTTGTTTCTCGGAGAAAGAGTTGACGCCGACCTTTTTTTTTACGGCGATTGGAAACCAATTTCTCACAGACTCCAACGTTAAGCGTTGTAAGCGCTTGTGGCCTTCTACTTACTATTTATACCGCAGATTGGAATATTTAAAAAAATTTTTTTACACATGAGAACGTTACGAGTGCGCAAGTAAAATGTACCATTGTTGTTGTTACACCGCGCAATGCCTACCAACTCGCGATATATAACACGAGAGTTTTTTATATATATATATATATATGTACATTATTTTCCAAAGAGTTTTGTATTCTTCCATCATGTACTTAGGATAAAAGCGATTCTATATATAAACACACGCCACACACATACGTACCATGCGAATAACGTGAATCAAAATGTACTTGTGTTACTCTGATGTTGACTCGATTAACGCGCGAATGAAATTATTATATATTATCGTAAAGTGCCTGTTAATCCTTATGACAAAGCATTAGTGGAACAATCTTGGGAATACCTATTCCGCTTTTCCGAATTTGCGATATATATTTTTATAGAAAAGACAACAAAGTTACATTTATTTTCAATCGAGAATTGTGATCGCGAAGTGTTTTAGAACATGTTGAGAATTGTGCCATTGTTAGAAAATAAAATGAAAATTTTCATATTATATCCTGCTCTGTTGCTTGTTACACCACTTTTCGTTTTTACATCAAGACTCGTCCGTACTTCATTAATACAGTCGTTTCGATTTGTCTCGCATTCCTTTTTATTGTTAAAGCTCCTGGTCTCCCTCGTCGCAGAATTTTTGATTGATGACGTCAGAAGCGAGAAAACGTATGTTCAAAGCTCTTGCGTATTATTTCCAAAAAAAAAGTCTATGAAAGGATACTTGAAATCGCTAGAACATACTTGCAAGATGTTCTGAATACTATGCTTCTCCCTTAAAAATCGATAAACAGTTGATAAAATAATTTTAATGAGGTTGGTCGCATGGGATGATCGCGCATGCGCACGACTAGGTCTCATATTACAGTCACTTTGCGGTTGTCGAATGATGATCAGGGAAGAAGCACAGTATTCGGAGCATTTTATAAATATACTCTAACAACTCAATGTATTCTTTCATACAAATATCTTTTTATTTAGAAATGGCACGTAAGAATTTGCAGCGTGTCACCTCTCGCCTCTTACGTCTCTTTATCGGCCAACCTGGCCGCGGCGAGCGCCCGTAGAAGCTTTTAAAAGCAATACAATATATCTTTATACAAAATAGCAGTGTTACACTAATCGATCCGTTGGTACAAGTACAGGTACCCCAATTCTTTCGGCGGGTTTTCCGACAAGGCGACCTGAAGAATGACAAAGAAAAATGCGTGAGAAAAGTCGGCTGAGTTCAAACACTACGGGATTATCAACGAAATACAATCGTCACACCTTGTCGTCATTATATATCACCCATCGATTCTCCTTCAGCAAGTGACAAACGTAATGGCCTACCATCGTTGACGTGCCCATGTGAGATATGAAACCCACCAGTTTGTATCCTGAAACACGAATACGTTGTGCACCAAGCCTGTGGCGATAATTCGTACGTTATACGATCTCGTGTACGACTTACGAGGACTCCCGTCTCTGAAAACTTCCTTTGCTTGCGTATCACAACTTCCCGATTTCTGAGTGTCGAGCTCGACTTGGTGGCTGAAAATCCACTCGATCGCGCGCTCCACATTGTTATCGGTCGCCTTGAGCGCTTTCGTCGCCTGGTCTATCGTGAAGCCCATGCCCATTACCATCGTTATGGCCTCTTCGTCTGCTACAAAGCTGGATTTGCCGGCTGAAATAAGGTGAACGAATAATAAATTAGATGAAATCAGTAGATAATCAAGATCCCGGTTTCCCGGAGAGGATGAATTTTTAGATCAACAGGACAAGAAGCAAGAAGAAATCTCACCTGGATTAACGTCGACTCCCGGCGGCACAAACGGTTCATCGATGTCGGGATCCGCGATGTGATGCATCACCCAATTGGTCGCGTCCGTCAGACCTCGGTTTTCCGTGAAATACAGCGCCCGCTTGCACGCTTCCGGCGGGAAACCCATGTCCATCAACTCGTTAAGAATGTCCATGTCGTAGACGGGAGGCGGTGGTTCCGCGCCGGTGGTCTCCGGCAGCAATTCCTCACCGGGTTGCAAGCCGGTGCCGCGCAAGAAGCTTAGGTCCAACGTGTCCGGCATCTCCACCGCCACGTCCAGTTTGATGGGCGTCCAATCCTCTTGTACCGTATATTTCCTCAGATGAATCAGCAAATAATCCGGGAAGCTGTCCAGTCTTGTGGTTCTAAGGAAAAATCGAGAGTGTAGTATTAGCGGCGTCTGAGCCGCTCAATCAGCCGTTAATAATGCTGCGAAGTGAAGTTGGAACGCGTAGACATATTATAATGAATAATACAAGCAGCAATAATATTAACGACGTTTCAACGACGAACAATAATATTAATGATAATCAGATGCGAATGATAATAAAGATCATAATAATAATATGGGAATGACAATGAGGATGATAGACAAAACAGCGATGAATAATTGATGTTGAAACTATAAGCGAATATGTAACGCTTACTTGTGCGCCATCGTCCTGCCGTTCAACGCTGAGCTGTAAAACTGCTCCACGGTTTCCGAACGAATGAACGTCTCCAGGCACGAGGACAGCTTTAAGCGCGGTCTCACGAGAGCGTTGGAGTCCAGCTTCTGGCCCTTCGCTTCGGCTTCTTTCTTCAAGTTCTCGTAAGCGGCCACTTCGTCCTACGCAAGATGATGATCGCTCGATTGGCTCTCGGTGACAGTGACGATTGCTCTCAAAGGTAATTCGATTACGTTCTAATTGTACACACCTTATTCACCGCGGCCTCCAACGGTATCGGCAGTGGCAGAATGTATTCTGGCCGGTAGGTGTATTTGACCTTCTTCGATTTGTCACACTGATATCTTTCCTCCACTCTAAATTTAAAACATTCCATGGGGTTTACCTGGTGCCGACTGTGACGCTATTCAATCAATTTCCTGACATTAGAATCCGAGGCGGGCGGGTGCTTATTAAATAGGTTTCGATCGCACGCGGGCAGAGCGAACGATCGTTCAGCGAAATATAATTACATCGAGTATGTTAATTAAGTGGAGGAGGAATTCCTGCGCGTCCTGTTGCCGATTCGAGGAGAAGCCGGCGTGGCCGCGACCTACCAGAATCTTAAACATCCGCGGGGGAATACCTTGCCGCGAGTCGTCGTTCTCCGTACTGCCGGATTTGCTCGGCTCTTCCGAGTACTTGCCGGAGAGCAGGCCGGTGCCCAGTTTCGCCCTGTGTAAACGGCAATTTCCCAGTTTATATTCTTCGTTCTCGAGCGATATTCGCATTATAGAGGATCATTGATCGCGACTCACATTTGAATGTTGAAGTCGTTTGCAGGGTCGTTGTAAATCTGGTCGAATATCTTCGGCGCTCCGTCTACGAATCTGCAAATCATCGTTTTATAATCAGCGATCGTAGGATGCGTCGGCGCTGATACCTCTTGACCACGAGAGGGACCACTGATCGACTCAGGGACTCCAGTAGAGAATCATGCGCAAAAATCTGAAAATCGCATAAACCAAATGATTTGGATACCTCTTGATAAAATCGGGGACGATGAACAGCATTTGCATGACGCTGTTCAGGTAACAGGAGTTTCCGAGATTCGCCAGACCGGTGTACCCAGAGCCATACACTGGCGTCAGCTTGCTGGCTGCTTCTTGAAGAGCGACCCACTCGCCAAATTTTTGATTCAGGTCGAGTTCCAACTCAATCATCGATTTGTCCGTCTTCTCCATCTGAGCCACGTTAATGCCCCAGTGCGACAGATGCACCGCCAAGTTCGGGTCTTCCACCATGTCGTCCTCGTCGTACGAGAACACATCGCCCTTGCCTTCCTTCGTAATCGTGCCCAGCTTCACGGCCAGAGGATAGCCGGTCGCCCGGTAGTGCTCCACCGCGTGATCGTTGCCGCCAGTTCCGTCAAAGAACTTGCGGCCGCAGAGCACGCTTCCGTCGGTTAAGTTGAGCCAAAGATTCTGCGTGAGCTCGCATTTCTCGCACTTCCAGCCGCTCGGTGGGATTTTCTTCCCGTTGTCTAGCTGCTTCAAGTTCGCGGCGTGCCTGTAAAGCCCAACAAGATTGACATCCTTGAGAGACAAGTTTTACTGAAATATCTAGTGGATCAAATATAACTACTGTGACCGGTAAGGTACATATAAAAAAGCATTGTATGATTAATTCCACTGTATACTGTATGGCAACTTGATTCTTCAAAAAACTTACTTTGAAACTGCTTTGATCTCACCGTCCCATGTACCAGCTAAGGCTTCTACCTCTGCCAACTTGATTGCAGATTCTGCTTCTAATATAGCTTTGACTGCAAGTTCCAACTGTCAAGAGTTTCACATATTTTAAATACTAATAACATATACAATATCAGAAGATATAGTATCACATATAACATTATATGATATCGTGTAATATTATATATATATTATGTAATATTCAGTTACTAAAGTTATCAATTTTACATAAATCTTACCTGTTCAGGTAAATCATCGGATGGGTATGGGATAGTTATAAAATTTGGTAGAATGACTATCTCATAAGTCTCATGATAAGTATACTTCTGTTGGTCGGGTGTAAATCCACCAGCTGTTCCAATGGCAAGCCTAGTGATCTTCTTCTCAGGACCATCTCCTTGCTGCGCAGATGGAATCTACAAAATTTGTTGATCCAACAGTTCTTCAATCTATTCTTTTTTCATCGAAACTTGTTGCTTGTTTGAAGCTCAATGAATCGAAATTACCTCTTTCCTTGTACGTTTTAGGTGAAGGAAGACAGGATTACCAGTCTGCTGATGATATCGTAGGACATGGTCCTGGCCTAAACCCACAAAGGTACTAAGACTAATATAGAGACCCGTTGGTGTGTCCTTGAATAGAAATGTTTCGCTTGTAACGTTCGCATGCGATTTCGTCGGAAAGATCGCTGAACATAAAGGACAAAGGTCTTTCTTACCGGGGTGTCAAAGGAGTAAACACATTCGTCCTTGTATATCTTGTCACCGGATCGTGGTATCCGTATCTTTCCCAAATGTTGCATCAACTCATCCATGACAGAGGGACGAAGAGCCGATATTCAACCAATTTCTTACGCTCACCGAACTATCGCGACAAACCGCGCGAAATCCGGGCTAATGACTCTTCACCTAACTTAACCTAACCTAACCAGCACGTCTCTCAGCACCGGTTTTGGTTATCGATGATACTGCGTGAATTGGAAACAATTGGGGATGGGTGATGCTCGACCGAATGTATCGATGTTCGATTCAATTTTTCTTGCAGGATCGATTCTTTTGTCGATGTATCCGATTCATTTGAGTAATCTTTGCGATAATAATTTTTTCCAATAAATGTTATTACATTCCACTGTTAAATTTTTTACGGTGGAACATGTGTGAAAATATGCGCTGTGCGCAAAAATTGAAATATCGCTATCCTCAACTATGAGAAGTAGAGGAATATCAATGGAATACAACTTTGCGGAACATGAGATAGTCCCAGAATTATTTTACAGCTTAAAATTTCTAATTTTCAGATACAATGTTGAGTATAACATTTACCGAGTTTTGACGGCACCACGCAAATCACTACGGTAAATCAAGATCTGTCGGATTCCAAAATATTCCATCGAATTTGTAAAGGTTTATTGCATGAAGAAGCAATCATGAATAAATAAAATATATACATCGTATAAAAGCGTGGACATTCTTTTATAATTTACATTTCCACACGTTACGGCGAGACTTTTCCGAGTTATTCAACGTTGAAGCAGAAAGCGTCCTTTCAGTTTGATTACTTATAGAAAGAAAACGAATCGGTATAACATTCGGTATAATAAATTAATAGGAAGCTTAGAGTTTCCTCTTCAAAATTTACCTATTATACTATCGATGTAAATAATATTTCAATGTAAAAGTTCAACTGGAAGAGATAAAAGATTGATGAAAATCAAAAGTGACCGCCATTTCTCATTTAACTCAGGCTGCGTTCGCCAAGTAACGAGCACGTTATGAGCGTGCTCTATCTTTGTTACTTATTGCAAGTTGAACAAGGACAGAGCACGCTTTTACCGCTAAATAGCACCTCCCTGAATGTAGCCGCAATTTACCTCAAAAGAAAAATGAAAGTAACGTTATGAATTTAATATGCTTAAAAATTAGGAATTTCACGCTGTAAAATGCTTCATGAATGACCTCGGTATTATTATTCTTTCCAAAGTTACAGCTCTCGCTGAAGTCTGCTTACGTTTTTGAATAGACTAAAGAAACGTCTGACTAATCGTTGACATATCCTACGAGCTCGATTTCTGAATACGGCTCCTCGCACAATGCCAGGCAACAAGCAACAAGAATAAAAATAGACGAATCACAATCGACTATTACAAGAATAATCTATTGTGATTGGTCTATTTTTATTCTTATTACCTGTTGCCTGGTATTGTGCAAGGGGCTTTACCACCGCGACGAGATAATAATAAAGGCCGGTATTCATAGTCAGGTCTTATATTTAAGACTGTCTTAAGTTCACTTTCAGATACACACCACAGCCAACGAAATGATTTGTACAGCATCTGAAGATAAACTTAAGACGATCTTAAATATAAGATCCGACTATAAATACCGGCCAAAGACTGTCAACACTGGGTAAATTCTCGTAATGACCAAGGGAACCCCAAGGGACCCGGAGGTAATTGAAGAGCGATGATAATACATACCGACTGCTATAGCTACGCGCAAGATAATACAGCAAGCAACTATTACCGGTGTGTGGCGACAGGAAAGACAAGCAAGCGACCTTATTCGTGCTTTACCACGCCGCACACTTTACTATCCACACAATACAATTATAATAAAATGTACTTGTAAATTCTCTCTATACATATACGGTGTAATGTTTTATTTAAGTTTATATAGTATTATAATAAATTATAAACCTTCACTATAGAATATACATATCGAATGTGTATATATTCTACATACTTTGATATTTTTTTATTCAAAGATATTATTCTTATTATAATTGACGAAATGTCAATGATATCTAATTTGACTTTAAAAAACTATATCGAACTAAAACTTGATTAATACACAGATGACAGCATTTTTATTATAATAAAATGGTCTTGTAAATTCTCCTTATACATATACGGTATAATGTTTTATTTAAGTTTATACAGTATTATAATAAATAAATTATAAACCTGCATTATAGAATATATTATAATAAAAATGCTGTCATATATGTATTAAACAAGTTTTAGTTCGATATAGTTTTTGGTGCAGCCGCGCCAAGATTTTTTGTATCAAATATCTTTTATTGCGTTGTTATAATAATTAATTTGTTACAATAACAAGCGAAATAACCATATAACTCAGTGTTCTAATAAATAATGATAAATTTTACTTGTAAAACTTTATGTTATGGACATTTTTTGTAGCTGGTATTCATTGAATTATCCAGAACGCGCAACTGCCATGTTGAACGACTCAATTGTCGTGTAAAATGTTTCGATTTTCACTAATTCATATAAAATTTTTCATTTTTCACTGATTCACAGAAGTCTTTCACTTTTTATTAGTTCACGCTAGGGAAGAGATTCATGATCGCTGCCCCGAGCAGCTGCAACGCTTTTCGAATCATCTATGTCGGCGCGCTTTTATTCCTCAGATTTCTGTCATTAATAACTCGATAATTATTGCGAATCTCGCAAAATGGTATGGAACTTTTATGTTTGTCTCAACCCAATCTACCCTCACACTTCGGGTTGGCAGCTAATTACCGGACACTTCGTATGATCTTCATGATATTAATCATACACAATGTCAATTCTTTTTTTTTTGCACATGTTAACATGTTAATTCATGTTATAAACGCGTAACAATGTGCGAGACTGTGCTTGTCAAGTACGCTATTATGGTTGTAGCACGGACATAAACCGCCTAAAAATGGATGTAGCACGGACTGCCAGCACATACAGGTTTTACCGCCGAAACCTGAAAGTGGATGTAGCATCGTAGTTCCCCTCTCAAAATGGATACAGATGACGTCCTTTCCCAATGCGGAAAATCGGAGTCGTCGAAAACACCGTGTTGGCCGCTCTCACGTTCCTCTCTGGTTTGGCAACACCTTATATACAGGGAATCCCAAAACAATTATTGCAAAACTCGTGAAGACATAGAGCGGGTGAAGACAAACCAGAGAGAAACCTGAGAGCGGCCAACACGGCATTTTCTGCGACACCGACTTTCCGTCCGACTGGGAAAGGACGCCATCTGCATCCATTTTGTGAGGGCAACTACGATGCTATATCCACTTTCAGGTCTCGATGGTAAAATCTGCATGTGGTGGAAGTCCATGCTACATTCACTTTAAGGCGGTTTATGTCCGTGCTACAACCACAGTTGCCATCTCTATGCCAGACATTGCCCAGAGGTCTAAAAAGAGCGGAGGGGAAGCAGGAAAAATAAGTATTAAATATTAAATCTTCGAATACATTAACATATTAAGTCCAAACTAAACATTGTGCGATACTAATAATCATTATAAAATTCAACATTATTTATATTTTAACGAACATACACATACACTGGTATTACATAGTTATAAAAGACGTTATGACAAAATATACGCATCACTCAATAAAATATTTTAATATATTAACATAATATGATTACATTATGATTACATTAAATATGTCTGGGTGCCCCGTAATTAACTGCCAAGGCGAAGTGTGAGGGTAGATTGGTTTCAAATAAATATAAAAGTCCAATACCATTTTGCAAGATGCGCAATAATTATCGAGTTATTAATTACAGAAGTCAGACGAATGAACGCGCGCTCAGATGGGTAATTGGAAGAAGTGTCGCAGCTTTTCGGGTTACAACAACGGGTCCCAGTCGGAAAGGTTTAGATAAAATCGCGTTCGCAGAATTGCAGTAAATCCATTATTTTGATTAGTTCCGAAGTCTCCGCTACTAGCCGCCACTATCTTTACCGAAAACCGAGGTCGAAAATGAGAAATTATCTTTCGAAATACTACCCATAAAGTAGTCGGACGCACTTTTACGCTACACAAAATAGAAGCAAAATATAATTTTCGACAGAAATGATAACGAGACGATTTATACTCAAGATAATTTTCAAATTTGGACTTTTTATATGGGATATAAATCACATATAAATTTAGAAACGTACTGCCAAGAGAATACTCACAGCGCAGTTGGGCGGAGGTTTTTCTTTTTCTTTAAGGTTTCCAAGATTACAAAGTAATCACAACGGAGACGGATTTTAGAAACATCATTTATTCTTTATCATATCCATGTCATACCAGTAATAATACGCGACCTATTCAACACTGTTACACAATGCAATTAAAAATTAACGATATAATAAAATATTAAAATAATAAAATCTTCAGAATGATTATATATATATATTTATATAATATATATATATATATTTTTTTTTCTTATTTATGTGTCATATGTCGGTAATAATTGTAGCAGTAAACATAGCACTAATTACACAGTATTAATTAAATTGTATGCACCCAGTACCGATCGTGCCGCGACGGTCGGTGAGCGCCGGGCTGGAGCTTAATAGAAACTATAACAACAGTAACAACAATCAGCAACGACGACGACGTTCACGGCAGCGACAAAGACATTGTCGTCTCTGATCAGCGGTGCCGCGCTAAGGTAGCATCACCGCGACTTGTCTCATCGACTTGCTCTGTCGACATCCTGAAAGAAATGAAATGGAGAAACTCGCATAACCGATACTTGAATGAAAATTCATCATCTTTCGTTTCTAACTGATCATCTCCGCTGACTAAAATCGGAATAAACAAAAAACGCGCGTGTGTGTATATCGTTCTTTGCTGCTTTTTGTTGCTTCGCTACTCTTTCCTTTCTGTTTCTCTTCACTCTGCGAATCTCGAAGCGGTGAGTAGTCTGTCGGTTACCATTCGTTTACGAAGCCAATCGTTTCATCTTCTTTTACCTCGCTCGCAATTTAACATCTTTTGTTATTATTAGATGAACTAATGTATATATATGTATATACGCAAACTTACGCGCGAACGCGCATAAATGCATTCGTTTATATACAGCTCGATTTTAGAAGAGACAGGCCGGGCCGCTGTAAAGGCCATAACATTTCCAACTCTTTGTCAAAAAGGATTGTGCAAATGATCACGCATTATCTCACACACACACACACACACACACACACACATGCACTCGTCTAAGGAGAGAATCCATTTTCTTTCTTCCTATAAATTTTTTGCCAAATTAACATGAACTTTTTAATCACGAATTTCCGCGAAACTTTGAGCACATTATAAGGTTCGATCGTTTATTACACATTATCCCAATTACTATACACTTCTTCTGGCAATTATGCACACATTATTATGTCTAGATATTTTGAAACCGTAGTAACAATCATGCTAATAAAACAGAAGACGGAGAAGCTTCGTGCATCGAACAAAAAGAAAACCCAGGAGAATTTTCTCCCGCTCTCGTCAAGATTAGTCTTAAAAATGGTACAGCCTTTAATTACAAAAAGATATGATTTTCATTCTCACAAGTAAACATCATACGCGTCGCCGAACACACGGGCGGCCCGCCCGAACACGCAGATTATTGTTCGCACATCGGTCCGCCTCGAAAGTTAATCGCGCGGAAATGCATTGGCACACTCGGCGAGCGTTCGCTTCTTCCGCAGCGCTCACGAATTTCGTCGAAGGAGAAGAATGTAAAAAGCGTCGGTCCGATGAGACGTTCCGGGTGACGCGAGTCGAGTCGCCGTTTGAAAAGGAATCACCGACAAAAAGATCGCTCCAAAAATATCAAATCTAGACTCGAGTGCCTCGGCCCCCGTCACGTTTCGCGTCCATCGGACGTTCCCTTGAACACCTGATCGCGACTTGTTGTCTCTTGTTGTGACTTGTTGTTGTTGTTGTTGTTGGATTATATACGTAGCGAGCATGTCGCGCCATTAAATTGTAAACGCATCGACGATCGGAAGCGGGCAAAGTTTCCCCACAGCCGTCCTCCCCCGCGCGAACTCCAGGTCGTCTCAAATAATTGTAATCGATACTTGGCGAATCAACAACGGCAGTAATTCTCAGCTACCTTTCATCGATGACAAACAAAACAGAAGAATCGAGTGTGTCACGAGCACGAAAGCATTTTGCCGAAAATAATTCCAATCATCTCGACTTAACCGAAGCGACGGAGATATAGACCGCAACTCCGAGAGTATTCGCCCATCGAAAATTGAATCGTTCAAAATCGGATCACGACTGATCGGGAGAAAGAGCATCAAGATCGAAGTCCTAGTTGGCGCTGTCACTGTGAGATACCAATACCTTCGATGCGAAAAATTCGTCGTTTTTCTACTCAATTCCCTTCTAGGAAGTTTGTGGAAAATGAAAGAGAAATTCTAGGGAAGATTTAGAGGAAAACAACAAGTTCCCGCTAGACGTCTGAAGAGATACAGAGGCTGCGTTCCGATACTCACTGTCAGCACTGAAAATCTATCATATACGTGACATAAACTATATATTTTCGGATCGAGGTTGCTCACGTTATTCGTTAAAATTTATGAAATCGAATAATTCGATTCAAATTCGAATTGAACAACTCAAGCATCAAATTATCAAACTGAATAATTCCGCTTTCCATTCTATTCGACAAACGCGACGAGCCTTTCGGACTAACCGAATATTTTTATACCCGGTGACCGCGACCAGGTAGCCGCGATCAACGGCGCTATTTCTAATCTGTAATCGGCAGTCGCTCATTCCCTCCAAGACCGCGTCTTGATCAGTCTCGCCTAATCAAGTCTTGACAGCATTCGGTTCGTTACAGCACACAAAGGAAAGCAACTTTCGAGTAAGATATGAACGATTCAAGTTTCCGATCGATAGTACCAGAATTCCGAGTTCGAATGAAAACCAGAAGCTTGGTAATTCCGGAAGTCGGAATTTCTGAATCATTCATATCTCGCTGGAAAATCGACTCGTTCATCAACCAAGCATTATTCCGCGCAGGCTGAACGCACCCGCGGTTTTCGTCCATTTCCGATTCCTCCGATCGGCCGATGCACTCACAACAATGTCACAATTTTACGCGCGCTCGTTCACACCGTGTTCCGGTCCAACAGGCCGCCGAGCAGATCCGGACCCACTTGCAGTAGGCACGCGGCGGACTCGCCTACGTCGTAGTCGAAGCCTTCGAACGGCATCGCGCACCTCGTCGGCGAGACCAAGTTGCTGCCTCCGCCACCGCCGGTGAAAGGCCCGCTCAGGTGTCTCCTGGTGTCCGGACTGAGCTGGTCCAGAGATATGACGCTGTTCACGTCCGCGCACTGCGGCACCGTCTGATTGTCCACGTTGACGGACAACGGGGATGACAAGTTCCTCGATAACAGGCACGTCGGCACATTGCGAGAGTCCATCAGGCCGTCCTGGGGTAAAAATGAAGAGAAAATCGTCAGAGTGGCGACACTCGTTCTTCCATGACAGACCTGGAGTCGTATTCCGGGCATACAGCGGACGCTAAACATGTTTCCCCGATTCCTCCAGCTGTGAGACAACGTGACAAGTTCATGTGGGAAAATCGAACCTTGAAATTAGAAAAGCGTGCTTAACGTTCACTGTACGCTCCAAATGAAACCTCAGGTCGAGTCAGATCGCTCTACAGGTAATGAAAGTAAGAGAAAATAAATAAATACAATGAAGCGCAAACACAATTCAGGAAGGTCTGTTGTCGAGAGTGAGAGTTCGTTCTTCTCGCGAGTCGACTTGAGGAGAGACACCGCTGCGTTTCGCCGGGAAAGGAAAAGAGCGGATGATCGCAGACGCGTTTCCTTGAGGAATCTTTTTTTATTATGCTCGGCGGGAGAGGAGGGAGAGGGTTCTCGAGGGGGACGCGCTTTTATGACCCGGGCGGGAAACGCTGAGAATGGACGTCGGGCGAGCGTGACTATCGCGACTCCGCGCATCTGACGCAATTGACGAATTGGTAAACTCGTGCGGATTATGAAGAACAATTAGCGCGTCTTGAACTCTGAGAGCGCGATATAAAACGCGACGTAGCTATTCTTCGTGGATATAGAAGGGACGAAGACGTTGCGATGCGTTTTATTGTCTATGTGTGTGTCTATGACTGTTGTATTTAACAAACATTAACTACAAATATCTCTTTTCAATAATCCAGCGAGAATAATTTGACGACTCGAGATCCGCCTGTGTTGCCTTCGAGGGAGAGAAGTAAATTCTCCGCGAAGCTACAACAAAAATATAAATAAACAAACAGGAAAATTTCACAGCGAGACGGGAAGTACTTCTCTTCCGAGCAATCGCTCTTTTATTCTTAATCAGATATCAATTCATATCTATTTACGGTATATATTCCCTTCTCTTTTCTCTTCTATCCGAAAGACATCGACTTGGAACTCGGTTTTTGATTCTCACGATGACTCGATTCGATGCGAAATACACACTCAACTACGATTGACTACGATCCTCGACGACAGGTTCGACATCGTAACGGCAGAAGGGGATGCTGAGGGATGACAGCAGTGGGAGGGAAACGAAACGCAGCTGGTCAGGTGATTCGATGCTCCATGTATTTTCCATAATATTCAATCAACAATTCCATATACTTTGCATTAGTGTACACAACGTGGCTCTAAAGTACGGCTCGTTTAACCCTACAATGCCAGACTTCGAGGCCCGGCGACAACAGCGGGCCCCGAATAACACCGCATATATCTCTCCGCGATCACGCATACAACCTGGGGAACCCTTATATATCGTGGTGCAACTCACCGGCCCTCTCACTCTCTAGCTCTCTCTTTCGCTACTCGTTAACGCCTCGTATCTTACTCCAGGCAATATGAAGGAAAGCGTAATTAACACGTCTAAACTATATCGCGCGTATATATGTCTCTCCTCTATCTAAGATTAACATCGAACACAGTGCGTTTTAGGATTAAACAATCGAGCGATACTAACTCGCTCCGTTCGTGTATTTCCTCTTTGTCTCGCAATTTGTAACCAACTCTCTCTCTCTCTCTCTCTCTCTCTCTCTCTCTCTCTCTCTCTCTCTCTCTCTCTCTCCCCCCTCCCTCTCCCCCACCCCCTTGTTTTTGTCTCAAACGTCCTCTCCCAAACAACCGCAGACCACCGATAAAGGCGACGCGAGAACATCGCTTCTGCGGATTTCGTTCAGACAGGGACACCCAGCCAAAATCGTCGCAGGGACGCGAATTCTTGGACCTTCGACTTCCGACCGGCGTAAATCGCAAATTCAAAGGAACGGGCGGAAGCACAACAAAAGAGAGAGAGAGAGAGAGAGAGAGAGAGAGGCGTCGCCTCGGAAAAATCGAGACAACGCTACGCGCGATCACGCTGTTTCTCCGCCGGATTTGCAAGCTCCCCAAGTCCGACGAGCGTGAAACGCACCAAGTGTCACGGCGAGAACGCCTCTCGTCGTTCCGAAGAACGCCATGGGGGCGTTCTCATATGCTCGCGATGCCCTTCGCCGATTTCGGCTTCACCAAGCAAACATATCCCGCACTCACGTCGCAGCCGGAAACCAGGAGATTCATTAGTACGCTGCTGCCGACGCCGCAGGTCGGGTTCCTCCGACTAGCGTCGATATTGTTCAAGCCGTTGAGACCGCCGTCTCTGTCGCGACCGTGGCCGTCATTGCCGCGTCGTTGTCCGCCTCCGCCTCCTCCTCCGCCGCGGTCTCCTTCCGACTCGGCGAAGGAGTCGATGATGCCGTCGAGGACGCGTATGCGCTCCGGCGAGTCGCGACTCAGTCCACCGATCCCACCGTTTGGCGGCAACGATGACGACGACGATGACGATGACGAGGATGGTGATAACGACGACGATGACGGCGACAACGACGATGACGACGACGAGGACGATAATAATGACGACGACGACAATGACGCGCCATTAACGTCGTTGGAAGTGCGCAACGAAGCGACGCCCGGCGTCTGTGAGACCAGACGACGCAGCAGCTGACTGCCGCAGCCGCCCCCGAGTCCCTGTTTCCTGCGGGCCGCTGTCGTCGACGGTCGTTGTAGCTGCAGCTGCTGCTGCCTCGTCAGCGCGGTATCTTCAGGCCGCACCCCGAGAACGACGTCTCGCCGCTCGAACGGCGAGCCCTCGCACTTGAGACGCTTGTGCTCACTCTCCAAGTCCGGGCAAGGCGCATGGATGCGCTTGCTAGGACGGTCAGCTCGTTCCTGGCTGGTGGACCACCGTCCGGACTCGAAAGCTGCATCTGTAAAGGCAAGGCAAGCCGTGCGCGGTACCGTTAACGTACTTTGTTACACCTCGCACAGTGTGCGTGTATGATCGTTACGCTGCAATCAAACTGCCGTGCGTGACGTTGCGAAACGGATTCATAGAAGTTTTACATGTCACAATGGAAGAGAAGATATCTCAGAGACTCGAGCGCTTACTCTTTCGCGGTATCTGCCCAAACACCTGCGCCGGGTTCACCAGGCCGCCGCCGTAGTCGTTGTACCGCCGTGACGCCGTCACTTGCTCTGTCCGCAGCAACTGCGCCAGGCTCGACTCGGAGCCGCGTTGCTCCCGATCATCAGACAACCTGTCGGGAAGGGAAACCTTGTGAAAAATGCGCACTCGTCAAGGAGAAACAAAGTGGCGCGTTCGTGTTTCGTCCGAAAACGTCTTGCAGAGAAACGTCGAGATAAAATTTGCGTGGAACGATTAGAAGAAACATTTTTTCGCAATGTTGTGCTTTGCTGAAGTATCTGGAGATGATACTTCAAGCAGACATCATTTTCCCAGATAAATAAGGAAAAGCATTTTCTGCTGTGATATCCTGCTGAGACTTCTGGAGGCATCTTTCAGTTACAAGTAGAAGCAATTGTTGTAAGGAAAAATTAAAAAAAGGAGCATTTTCTGTAGCATTGCGTTTTCGTCAAGGTTCCCGGAGTCATCTTTCAACTAGAAGTAGAACTAGATCTCAACAACTCTGTGTTTCTGTGTATAACCTTGTTGTCACATTTACCACTTGGAGGATCCTTTGTCGGAGGACTGTGACGAGCCCCACATGACCATTTCGTCGCTGATGAGTAATTCCAGAGCTTCGTCTTGATCGGACATCGGGATGTAGGGCGCCCTGAGGGCTAGCTCGTCATCCGCTATGCTGTCGCTGATGCCCAACATTAGCATCTCATCCTCGGAGAGCCCGTCGCCGCCGCTACCTCCAGTAGGGCTGCCCAGTGAGTCAACGCTGCGTTCGGGACTCTGAGACAAAGTGTCGCGCATCAATCACACGCCGATGCACCAAGGATATCGATAGGGACGAGATACAAGGAACAAATAACCATCCTCGTCACTCACCTGCCGGTACTTGGAGAGGCACGACGACACGGCGCTTGAGTCGATGCCGCAAGGACTCTCGGGCGAGTCACCGTACATGAAAGGATCACTGTCGGCCAGTCGATCAGTCCCGATTTTGGTCCTGGTGATGTTCACCAGGTCGGTGTCCTTGAGGGATTCGCCGAGGTCCGTGGCTGATCGCAATTCTGGTGCCAAGGCTCCGCCGGGGCTCAGCAGCTGGCAGTAGTTGTCGTTGCCGAGGATGAACTCGTCCAACATGTCTGATAAGAAAGGCGGATCCTCCAGAGGCACGCACACGTCGCCGGGTGTGGGCGCGAGGTGCGTCAGGTCCTCCGGCTCGTCCTTCAACACTGCAACACCAGAAGAGAAACGTGACTAAACGTGACAATTTCTCCGGATTATTTAACTTCTAAATGTCAATCCAAACTTTTATCGAAGCTTTCGCCTTGAAGGGCTTGATTTTAATTTCTTTTTCTCTTTTCTTGCGCGCTAAAGGAAACACGTACTGGTGAGACCCGGCTGATCCTCGCTGAATGTCAAGAAGCCCTTGTTCATGTCCTCGGTGCGAGGCGCGAAGATGCTCGCTGTGGCCGTCTGCGGCGATGGTCGACAGGACAGTTGTTGCTGTTGCTGCTGCTGCTGCTGCTGCTGCTGCTGCTCCTGTTGCTGTTGCGCGAGCGGCGCAAACAGGTGCCTCGTGACCGCCTGTGGGCGCTCTCTGCGTCCGGGACTATCTAAAGAATCACGCTCAATCGCCGGCTTACCCTGGAATGAAGAACCGTGCGCACGCACGTTCGTATGACGAATCTTCGATACATCCGGTCTGATAAATCTACCGAGAAAGATATCAATTGGATTTGCTGCCACGTGTAACGTGGCGGACAGAGAGCGTATCGACTGGAACCCTCGCTAGAGCTGACACATCTATAGCCGTAACGCGCGGATCAATTTTTTTTGTTGCAGTAATTAAACATCAAGACTGACAGCATCCAACAGATTTCGGTATCGCGGTAAAATCGAAATCTGATTCACTTAAATTTAAATTCAAACTGAGAACTTTGGGTTTAAATTTAAATTCAAGTCGGATCCGAATCTGTGCGTTTAGATTTCGATTGAACTTGAAATTCAATTCAATTCGAAATTGAACTTGGATGCAAAGTGAATTGATTTTCCAATTCACTCAAAAAACGGTAAATATGTCGGCGCAGCAAAAGCGATTCCTCGCCGAAACCAATGAAGACTATATAATTCCTCTCAAACATCTCACGATTCGTTCGCAGATTTGCGGAGCCGAGCAAACCATTGTCACCTGGAATATGAAGGGTGTGCTGGCAAGTGACGGTCGGCAGTCGTCCTCCTGCCGCTCGGTCGCTGCCGGCTCGTCGTTCTCCTTCCACGCTTTGATCGACTCCTCGAGGGACTCCTTGAGAGCTCGCACGCCGACGAAGGTCTTCTCGTCCTGGCCCGGCCTCGGGAGAGCCAGGTCCTTCCGCGAGCCGTCCTTGCAGCAGTCGTTGCCGTTGGACGAGCGTTGGAAGATCGAGGCTGTGACGGCGAGCGGTCTTGGACGATCTCGGCCGCTCTTCTTCGGCGGCGGCGCGTCGTCGTCTACGATCGCCGATCGTTCCGCAACGACCGCCGCTGGAACCGCCGCCTCGTCCTTCTTGTCGCCGTCACAGTCGTCCAAGAGAGTCGCGACCGAGTCCGATGGCACCAAGGCCGGCAATGGTCTCTTCGGCTTCACCAGGTCGGCGCTGTCGCGTCCGGCCAACTGACACTCGCTGTACACCTCATCCTCGTGCTCGATCCCACTGCAAGCAGAATCGCAAAGCCGCCTCGTGGATAACGTGCCCCTCTCTCTCTCTCTCTCTCTCTCTCTCTTCCTCTTCCAACGGCCTCACACTCCGGGACGCCGGAGTCAACTGGGGACTCGACGGCGCCGGAGGAGGTGGTGGATCGAGAAGCGAAGATTTGTCGAGCATGTTTCTCCGAGGAAATAATTCCAATTTTTTCTCTCGAAGCAATGCAGCCGTGAAACGGATATCCCGTTGGTATTTGACGCCCGTCGTGCATCGTCGGGCATCGCCGGCTCGGACGCGTTAACGGTGACTCTTATCTGACGTACGACAATCGGACGATACTGCGATATATTACGACAGACCGCGATACGAGGGCACGTTTATCACGAGCGAATCACGCGTGCACACACGCCGTAGCACGACATGAAGCTTCTCAGGCTCTCTCCCCCCCCCCTACCCTCTTTACCAATATTCGCGAAATATCACGCGTACGTGTGCGCGGTCGCGGTCGGAACCGGGCTCCGCGCTGATGCGTCTGGGTATGTCACAGCTGTGCCGTGACACAAATGTGGCGAGCTTCGAGAAAGCGCCAGAGAGACGGAGGAGAGCTTTCAAGTCCGACGGGAGAGTCGCCGAAGACCGACGACAGCCTTGCTTCACCAGCCGCCCTCGGCGCGATCGTTCGATCGACTCGTGTCACGCTCACCTGGGATGTGTGAAACTCGTCCTCTCTCTCTCTCTCTCTCTCTCTCTCTCTCTCTCTCTCTCTCTCTCTCTCTCTCTCTCGAACGAGCGCGACGACGGCGACGACGACGGAGACCGGTATCGCCACCGACTAGCTACCGAAGCCTGAGGATCGTTGATTGGAAGTCGACCGACCAGGACCAGGAGCGCCCCGAGAGCCGAGGTCGGTTCTCTCGTCGGAAAGAATCTAATCTCTCTTCCGCAATCAATCCCCGATTGATCCTCCGGCTGATGCGGGCCTGAACAGCCGACCGCATACGCACTACGCACTCTGCACACGCACCGCTCTCCGGACCGTCCAGCGTCCACCCGGACTCTCGTGCTCTCTGACGGCGGCGCATCATTGCCCTCGTGCAATCTCCTTCTCTCTTTCTCTCCCTCTTCTTCCCCTCCCTCTCTCTCTCTCTCTCTCTCTCTCTCTCTCTCTCTCTCTACCTCCGCTCTCGTCCGGGTCCTGACCCTCTCTCGCGAGAGCATGTCTCGTGATCTCTTTCTCTCCTCTGCCTTGCTCTCTCGCTCTTACACACTCGCTCGTTCTCTCGCTGAGCCCGAGACAGAAGCTCAGCGCGAGTAATCGCGAGAACGCGCTTATGTAATCGGCTGTCGCCAGTCAGCGGCTTTTTCCGCACGTCACGCGCGCCTCCACGTCGCGGCCGATTTTCCGCGGCTCTGTTTCGGAAAATCGACCGAGGCCGACCGGTGAGCCGCTGGTCTCGAAGATACTTCGAGTCTTGTCTGGTGGGGTGGAACACGACGGACGGGCTCGTTCTTCCGTAATTTGCCCCAGACGAGGGCGAAGCGGGTTATGTGTTCCGATGGCCTTGTCTGTAACTTCGGAAAAATGTCCAGTTCCTTCCTGCCCAATTCGCACTCTCTTTCTCTTCCCCCTCGAGCACACCTGGCTGGTCGCGGCCGGTACGCGTCGGTGAATCGTATTGCGTCGCTCGACGCAAGATCGACGCACCTTTTCGTCTCTTGCGCCACGCTGCATCGCGCGAGCAACGTCGTTATCACCGAGGCGCGAAGTCGCGCCAGCGTCGATTCGTCATCAACGTGCGCGATCGATCGATAGAGCGTTCTTTTAATGGTTCTCCGTGACCTTCCCGGGCCTTGTCCTCCTCAGCTAATCTATAAACTTCTCGGGGCGAAATTTCTCTCGTCGAGCGCAAGACGAGCGGAAGGAAATCCACTCGAGCGGATTTTTGCTTTATTCCAAATTAAATGCCTAAATCGGATCTATTCCTGCGATACTACTGGCCACGGAAACGGTTTGAACACTTTCTCCCCCGATGCGCAGTTCGAAGCGTAAGTTGGTGTCCGATGTGAGAGAGAACTTAATTTCTGGGAATTTTTCAGAAACATGTTCCCTCCCCCTCCCCCTCCGCCCGTGAACCATCATCGGTCGCCTTGCGAACTGCGCAAGAGAAGATGTTCAAAAGCGACTTGAGAGCCAGTGTATTGTATGTCGGAGACTCATTCTTCAATTTCGGGTGAAGGTCCTCGCTCGGCGACTCGGAGCGGAGAATCCACTCTATACGAGCGAATAGTTCGCTGGCATTCGAGCGACTCGACTGTCAACGTGCTTTTCGAATGGAATTCTGGTGGAAGGGACTTGGAGAGCACGAAACGACCGGCGAAAGATATCGCGCCGGCGTGTGATCGCGCGTTCGATCACTCACGATCTCTCTCTCTCTCTCTCTCTCTCTCTCTCTCTCCCCCCCTCTCTTTCTCTCCTATCTACGATGTGACACACACAGCTTACATCAAGAGCCGATTACGCCCTTTATTACGATATTCCTCCGATCACACGGAGTATAGTTTCGCGGCCTTAACCCCGTAGATAACCTTCGTGTATAAATACATCGAGTCAAACAACACAACGAGTCCGCTTGCACTCTTTTAACCCTTTTGGTCCTCGTGACGCGCGCGCGAGCTTTGAATATTTCTCCCGCTCACTCGGTCGAGATTTTTCCCGATATGAGCGATCGAGTGTATTGTGCAAATCAGCGGACAGTATACAGAAGGAGAGAGAGAGAGAGAGAGAGAGAGAGAGAGAGAGAGAGAGAGAGAGAAAGAGAGAGAGAGAGATAGGGGGAGAGAGAAGAGGACGAAAATCTAACGAAATGCACACATTGCATACGTTCAGCAGAAAGAGCTGTTTTACAGCTGTTGTAAAACCCGTTAATCTAATTGGCGTGTGCTCTTAAATTTGGTTAAATCCAAAAGCACGCGCCAATCATGAGATTCATGAGTTTCACAATAGTTGCAACGCAGCTTTTTTTTTATTGTTTCGATCCATCGAGCGAGACGATTGAAGAAGTCGAGAAGCAGGAGCGGACGCGACGTCGCAGCACGATGGAGGAGCTGCCACACTAGGAAAAATGTATTGTTGCGGGGACCAAAATTTTGTTGTAACAACAAAATAATTTGGTTAAAATGTGCCCAACAAAACTGTTTAGTTCCTGCAAACAAATATCTTGTTTGATTGCGATTTATTCGTATAACGTAATACTTTTTTGTTACAGCAAACCAAAAAGCTTTAACTATATGAATTTTGTTAAAAGTACTATAATTCTTTCTTAATATATAAAATCGTAATTTTAGCGCACAGAGAGACAAAACAGTATCCATTGGGCATTGAGTTTATGTAAAATAATATTTCGTTATTATGTAATTTTTCTGGATAAAATAACTGAAATGCTTAATTTTTGTATATAAAGTCTAAGAACAAAATCATATCTGGTCCAGAGAACAAAGCAGAAAAATATATTCAGTTGAGAGACAGCTAAATATTTTGTTATATAAAACAAGATATTTGGCTGCTATTAAAGAATGCCTCAGCTAAAAACAGTTTTCAGTCAGAGATACTGAATTTTGTTTCCTAGCGCAGTCAGGCGACTCGTCGACGGTCGAGGTGTGTCACACACGTGCGCGCGTGTACGGGCCGATTTTGCGGATTTGTTGGTGCCGACGTTCTCGCCGACGCGGCGATTCGCCGCGGATGCACGCACACGGATCTACGCGGAGCGAGCTAAGTGCCTTTAACCGGTCGCAACGGCTCGGTAATTGCCGCAAATTGACCAGCGGACCCCAAACGCACGCGCGAGAACGCCGAACCTGCGCTTGTCGTGTGCTCGCGCGTTCGTCCGGAGGACGAGCGAGCGTGCGGATGTACTGCGACGCGGAAAGAAAATTCCGTGACAATATTAGCCGGTCGTAAAACGCGCTCGAGAGCGGGCACGTAATGCGGTAATTGTCGAGTCTGCCCCACCCACCTTGAGGAGTACCCACCCCTCCCCACAGGGGATACATTGGCGTAACGATCGGCGCGATTGCCGGCGAAGAGGCTCGCCGAGGAGGAGCGCGGAAGAAGATCATCGAAGCTCGAAAGCGCAGGGGGGATAAAACCGCGCGAGAAGTACCGCTATCACGCACACGGAAAAGCGCATCTTCCCCGAGAACACTCTTCGCCGGGTGGCGCCGATGTCGCGCGAGGAAGAAGCGGCGAGTTTGGAGAAAAACGCCTCGATGAAATATTGTCACACGACTGGTAAATGTGATCGATTAGCCTCAGAGCCGCCAAGCGTCGGGCCTGCAATTTCGTGTAAAAATAACTCCAATTTATATAACGACGCGTGGTGCACTTCCGACCGTCGCTCGCTGAATGAAGCCAAGAGAGAGAGAGAGAGAGAGAGAGAGAGAGAGAGAGAGAGAGAGAGAGAGAGAGAGAGAGAGAGAGAGAGAGAGAGTGTGTGACGAACAAAGAGACACCTTCGCAACCTTGCCGACGCGCTTCCTATCGGAAGCGACCGGCAGGGGAATCTTAGCCGGTAGTTGCAGCGTCAGGGGAGGCTGAGAACGGAAAGTCGAACGGGGATGGACGAGTTTCGAGGAGAGGTCCCATCGTCGGTCCCACGTGCTCATTTGCGCAAGCGAGCCACCGGCGCGGCGGCGGCGGCCGGTGGAGTCGCTCGGCCGTCACTCTATTTTTAACCGCGATATAGCCGTAGAGCGCGTATGTAAGCCGCACCTAACTCAACCCGATCCTCCATCTCGACCCGAGCAATCGGGTCGTGGCCGAGAGGAGCTGGCAGTGCCAAGGATTCGCGCGGGGGTGTGTGAAACTCGCGAGCGATTGTTGTGATCGCGCAGTCGAAATGGCTTTGCCAGCTCTCTCTCTCTCTCTCTCTCTCTCTCTTTCTCTCTCTCTCTCTCTCTCCCTCTCCCGAGGTCGATGGCGTGATGCTCCTCTCCGAGCGAGTCCCTCG